CCGTGTAATTTTATGAATTGAAAATTACCTACGACGATGGTCTTTCTTTGTATCAGCGACTGTTTGTAAACACTGCACAGAGCTGATGCACACGTAGCAATGATTTTCCTCGTAACGAGTGACGATTCGCAGTTCTCATACTTACATGCCCGTTACAGTGCATATATGTATTCGCCGAGTGAGCTTAATGGACTCTACAAAGACATCGCATAAACGGAAGTTGTTGCAATTATTTTTACGACAAGTAACCAAGAACTAAGTCGACGCCGTGCTTCAGCGTATAACAGGGTATTATTATTTTTTAGAGGAACGCTAAATCATCAGTTCGCGGCATGTATTGCGTCACTGGAATAATTCATGTCTTTTACGGTAAGACGTTTTAACGAGTTAAGACTCAATTACTTCTTCGCTTGGCTTTATAGACCGCCTGATCCATCGAGCTTCGCATTAGATTTGAACTGTGTTAAACAAACAGCAAGTAAACGCTCTATCAAATTTTGCCTTGGCGTGGGTGTGAAAAATTGCGAGATGCCGTTCTTTTCCAAAAATCGAGATCCCACCATGTATATTTTTCGTATAATGAGGGAAAAATAGCCTCGGAGCCACGCGATAAGCACGCGGTATCTTCTGTTTTTGATTTTGGTGTATATATAGCTTCGGACGAGTCGCGTTCTACTTACAGGGGTTTCTTCCGCGTAAATGTGTGAATATATTATACGCACAGCAGGAGCGCGACGAGAGACTAATACTAACGGGTAATCTAGAACGAATTGGCTCACACGGCAAATATTACCTCATTTTTCAAACGAATAGATTTTTTTTAAATTTGAAGAAAATCTCGAATCGAATTGTAAACGAATTCGAAATGAATGACAATTTCAAAGGATTGTTTTAAAGCCTAGCCATCATTAAATTGCTCAAGTGGTTGTAATTTTTCAATTCACACCCATATGATGGCTTTTTTCCATTTTCAACTTGGCTCTTGTGGGCGACTTAAGAACGGTCTACAAGATGCTAGCCGCAGATGCTGTTGTCATATGGCAGACAGCTAGGCATTTACATAGGAGATCCACTCAACAGAAAAGTTAGCGTGACGTGGGCGTTTTGTTTCTGTATGCGCTATAGTCCAACTTGTTCCATGTACTATTACATTTATAAATGCATTAAATGAGAACTTTCCGGGTTAATTTAATTAGGAATTTTATTGAGCCGATTACTTTACTCCGAACATTAGTTTCTAATTGTGTTACAGGTGTTAAATACAAACACTTTTAGTGTCGGCGGCTCATGTAAAATTTACATTTGAAATTTTTTCACAGTCACTTGAGACAATGATGTCTGAAGTGAAATAGCGGTTTAAAATATTCGTTAACAATTATATCCTTTTTAGATATTATGTTGAAATTATTTTGACCAGAATCATTTATAAATTAAATTAGTATAATTAATGTCTCTTTTAAAATTTTTAGGTCCAGAAACATTTCAAGATTTATTTTGGTGAGAATTTAATTTCATCAGATCTAACTCTCGTGTCAGAGTAATCACAAAAATAAATTATAAAAGCCTACTACATCTATAAAATTTTAATGGTTTTTTATTTTTGTAAATAGGAAAATCACGATATAGCTCAACATATTACATGATTGATAATTTTCAAAAAAGAAAGAAAAAAACTTTTAAACTTCATATAGGAATAGCAGAAATATGATATTATTTATCGAAGATATCTCCAAATCTAGCTAATTAAAACTAACAAGTCTAAAGCTTGATAGGGTCTATACTACTTATAATAATAGAAAATTCTCGATAGAAAGAAGAAACATTTTTTAGAGTTCATTGCCCCCTACAAAGTTTTACTCTAGTGAAACGAGTATTTTATGAAAGAAAAATTTGTATCTATATAAAAAATACAATAACATCTGAATTATAAATTTCAATGAATAATATTTTATTAAAGGCTCTAAAACATTTTTTACATATTTTTTCGTAATCAGTAGAAAATTTAGATTATTCAACTTAAATGAATAAATGATTTTAAGTATGAATGTTATTCATCGAAAGTGCATGTTTTAGATAGATTTTAGTGCGCAGAGTGCCCCATTACGCCGAACGTGGCTCAAAAGTGTACTAAAAACAAAACTTATTACAGATGGCGCAAAAAGCATATTTACTTATGCTGTAGCAGAAGTCAATATGAACAGTTGTCGGTAACTTAGAAAATAACAAATTCTGTATCCACTTCCGAAATATTTAAAGCTAAAGCTTATTTGAAATTTTCGTAAGAAACTTCCATTAATTAATAAGTATACATTCGTCAAAGATTTTATAAAATATGAAATCTCGACTGGTAGGTAATATTTTCTAGTAAATTTGAAAAGAGAAATTTTTTAATTCAAGAAAATTAACAACTCGAAAATTATCAACTTGAACATTATCAACATATTCTTAAGCCTTTAAAACGTACTCCCTCCAATCTTAAAAAAAGCAAATCTGGTTCCTTTGAAAAAATGAAAATGAACGCAATATTCACACCTTTTACAAATTGGAAAACTTCTTTGAAAGTAAAAAAATACTCCAGCAAAGTTCTTAATGATTATGCGGTTTGGCGCACTGGCGTATTATACATAACAGTGGCTTCTTTCATTCAGAAGACTTGGGTACGCAGACCGCACACGGCACAGATGCTAACGATGGCAACACGCGGCGTCGGTTGCAGAGCACGAGACAACAATTATGACAATATCCGCGCGTACATGAAGGAGGCCATGAAGGAGTCAAGTATTCTCGAGTCGGAAAAGACAAAAAAAATAGGTTCTCTCACTTCATTTTATGTGCATATTCAACAGCGACTTGAGAAGAGCAAATCCGCTGCTTTTACGAGTGAGTTGCTGCGCTAGATACTGACCTAAATATACACTCGGATTATGGGACATGTCACCGAAATAAAGTGTATATAAACGATCAATAACATATACCATTTTCACACGAGGGGAATGCTTTTTTTGGACTCGAATATATACCCTAAACATCTAAGAGTCGTAATATGAAGTAGAATCGCTTTTGCGCAAAAAAAATAGTTGCGCAAAGCACGTTCCGCGTATTTAAAAGCCAAAAGGCTGCAAGATTTAATTTCTCAGACTTTCTTCTCGGTGCTTGGAGCTCGAGCTCATTGTAACGGTGAAGATTTTTTCTTTCTTCGGTGAATAAGAATAAAACTTGAAGGCGCACGAGAGCGGTACTGGTCAAGGTCGAAGGATGAATCATGGGGGATACAATAATGTGAGCAGTATATCGATCGTTCCTTTTCTTTTTTTTCGTTTCCACCCAAAATGTTGAGAATCGATTTACTGCGGACGAATTTGAGTTAACTGGTTCGAAAATGCAGATTCTCACGGCTTGCAGGTTCGTCGAAAAATGCGCGATTTAAACGCGACCAAAATAGCCGCTTTTCGTTCGTTTTGTTGTTAAAAACAAGAGATGGCAGCGCGAAAATACATCGATGAAACGTTCGATGCTTTGTTTACGATGAAAAAAATTAAAAAAAGAGTTGAACGAACACAATCGCAAATGCAATCTTACTTTCGAAACGTCGCGTGTAATATCAACGGACATTCGAGATCATCTGCATGAGAATGAAACCTAACCTCGCAACAACTGAGCTCTTATCAGCAGCTGTCTTATCGCATCGTGGGCATACTGAGCTAGTAAACAATAACGAGTGATTTTAAAATCAAAACAATCAACCGATCGAAAATTCGTATTCGAACGATGTTTTTAAAAGAGCCGAATGACAGAACAGTAGCAGTAGTATCTCACACCACTCTGCATGTGTCAAAAAAAAAGAAAAAAAAGAAGCAAGTTAGCAAAAAAACGTGCTAAAAACTTTAATAAACTCACCGCAATGTCCGTTGTTGTTACTCGACGATTGGCCCATCTTTTCGAACGATGTGTCGGGCTCGCTTCGTCGGGTCGCGAATAAAACTGCCGTCAAAAAAATCCTGCACTTATGTCAGCAACGTGAAGATAACATCCGTACGATCTCATACTCGGCATACAGAAAGTGTATAACGAGAGCAGCAGTAGCAGCAGCAGCAATTGCAGCAGCCGAGCGCTTGCAGACTATTTTTCACTGGATATCTCGCGTTAAAATCGTCGTCGCGTTGCAGTAAATTAACCTCTTGGCCAGGAATTCGTTGTTTCATTCGTTGAGTCGTTATGTTTGTTATTGCTGTATAATAATTAAAAAAGGTAGGTACTACACTGGAGCAGAGGCATCGCTCGTGCAATGCTCGGATGCATCATCAAACACTCGGCGCGACACTGTAGTAGAGTCGAATCGACATTAGCCGGCTTCTTTATCATTAAATGTCACTTGGATGTTAGCGTGCACTGTTCCTAGCCAAGACTCGTACAATGTCTATAGCTATACACATGCAGTACATAAGAGGTTGTACTCGAGGACTCGCAGAGCAGGTCTTACATGTATGCACACGTTAATATATGTATGAACGTTGGTGTGCCCTATACACTCGCGCAACTCGGCTGCTGCGTGCGCCTTTGTATGTATATAGTAAGGTACCGCAAATGACACATATATCGCGATTTCTCGGGCCACTGCTGCTATTGGTCTGCCGCCGACTCGTGCGAAGTGTGGCTGGAGCAGCACTGCAGCAGTTCGCAATGTGCCAAATGTGACTGTGTATGTAGCCAGTAGCATGTGTATACACAACAACACTGTTGCGCGCAGACGTGGACGCTCTATCGTGACCTCTTCGACTCTCGCACACTCGATTCTCGCGTTTGGCTCATCGTTCGTTTTTCGATTTTAACACGAGCTCAACCAAAACGTTCTTTCCGTCTGTTTACTCATACGTATACTATATATGTGTAAGTGGCTCTGCAAACTATTATCATGCTCTGGGTGATTTTAGTTCGAGAAAAGATCTGCGCGCGATCTCGCGTGCCGTTGTTGCTGTTACAGCTTCGGTGAGAGAACTTTATTTTTGATTTACAAGTGTAAGCTCCACCGCGGCGCCCGCTTATTTATTGGACGCGCGAATTCGGGTTTCGAATGTTTTTTTTTTCGTTATACTTTCCGGGAATCGGCGTGTGGCATTGTTGAACTGCGAAATCGACTCTCGTGTTGCAATGCAATCCAGACGCCGCGGGGATATTTTCAAATTTAGGCGCATAATAACGAGATGAATCGTTAATTGGAGATACTATTCGTGTGAGTTAATTATAATCAAGTTGCGAACTCTGTTTTAAAAAAGTAATAACCGCAATTCGATAATGTCTAGTGATATCGTGCAATGTAGAATTAGCCTTGGACAAAAAACGAGTACCCCAGCGCAATGTGTACGCAAACCGAGATCAGTGAACGTTGCAGAAAATGACGACATCCGCGTGCAGCTCCGTGGCCGTTTTGTCGACGATTCCGCGCCTGTCTCAGCATTTGAAACTCGCTCTGCCGAACGTCAGCTTCACCGATGTTCTCGCAGGTAGGCCTGAGCACCGTAACGATCGTCGGAGCCAGTCAACTTTTTCGCTCGCTATTTATTCTCCATTTTGCATGCTTACTCGTTGATCTAGCCGATAAGAGCTGTCGCGTTTTCTACAATTTCGAGCTCGAGTAGTTATTATTGCAATTTTTTGAAACTTTATTTTTATTTTTTCTTTCCTGCATACGCTTTGATTTCGATCGCGGCCTTGGCTTTAACGATCATCCTGCAGTTATATCGTTTGTTTTTGCTTTTCCAGACGACAGCACGCGATCGAGACTGTCGAACGCCGAAATAATAGTAGCCGACGCCAATTTGCTCATTGGCCACGTAGAAAATTTACCGGCCACCAAATGGGTTCAAATGACCTGGGCAGGAGTGGAGGGCTTCGTGACGAAATTGCGCGACTCCAAGACGACCCCTCCGAATTTTCAAGTGACTCGTTTCAGCGGTCAGAGCTTCGGCTACGCCATGTCCGAGTACGTCGTCGCGCAGATCGTCAATTTCGAGCGCGACCAGAGAAGACAGTACGAGAATCAGAGCCGGGCCAAGTGGGAGCAGTCGGGCTGGGTATCGGATCACAGGAGGCTCTGCGAGTTGACCGTCGGTATATTGGGAGTCGGCGAGATTGGCGGTTTCCGTGAGTATCGCGACGACCTCGACTTGTCCTATACTCGGGAATTTGTCTAATTATTTTTACTTCATCGCAGTGGCTAAAGTTTTGAAAACTCTCGGAGCTCGAGTTTGGGGCATGTCCCGATCTCCTCCGGCAGAGATTTCTGAACAAGATTTCAAGCGAAGAAATTTGCATTATCTCGATGCGCACGTAACCGGCGCTAGTCTAGCAAAGCTGCTGGAAAGTTGCGATTACGTGGTGAACGTCATGCCCTCGACGGACTCGACCAGGGGCTTGTTGAACGGAGATGCGCTCAAGAGTTGTGCCGCCAGAGGCTCGGTATTCGTCAACATCGGCCGTGGCTCCGTAATCGACGAGTCCGACTTGATCAATGCTCTGGAGCGGAAGTGGATATCGGGTGCCATTCTCGATGTTTTCGAAAACGAGCCGCTCAGCGAGCATAGCAAATTGTGGTCGTTTCCGCAGGTAAAACACAATGGATTCGTCGATTGGATAATACATTATATCGAAAGCTAAAGTTTGATATTTTTTGATCTTTAGGTGACGATCTCGCCTCACGTGGCGGGCATCTCTAAGCCGGAAGATATAGCTCAGGTATTCGCGGCGAATTACGCAAGATACACGGCTGGAAAAAGTTTGCAAAATGTATTAGACCACAATCGCGGTTATTAGAGTTTATAAAATGTGTACGCTGTTATTATTACAGCGAAAAGGGGGATAAAAAAGAGGAGAAAAAGGCACAAATAAAAGTATGAAAAGAAAAGAGGAAGGCTTTACTCATTCAATGGACGTGTGCTGCCCTATACTCTCATACATTATACGAGCTCGAGAAGAAGTGTAAATAATTCAAGTTCTCGCTCGAAAGTATATAAGTGCGGGATTACAATGCAGAGCTTTGCTCGAGCTGGAATGCGTTACATGCAGGCGAGCGCTCGGCCGCAAGTACCACATCCACATCTTATAAATTACTGCAGCGTAATTATTGTAGCCCCTCGCTGTACGGCAATCGCAGTTACGAATCTCTCGCGCGAAAAAAAGCTCGCAGGATCTCCGCTGGAAATCAATATACGTAATGCGAGTATAAATGCAGGGAGGCGCGCACCGGACGACGAGCCAGCGAGCATGTGCTGGAAAAAGCATCGATTGAATTTCTCACCGTGTACAAACACGCGCCGCGTCGCTCCGAGAACAAAGCTCATGTGGTCCCATTCTGATACAAGGGGGTTCGCGATGTGTACACACGTTTCTCTGTAGCTACGGAAGTGTGTCGGTGTGTATGTACACACGGCTGTGCGTTTATACACGATTATATAGATATAGGTCGACTTGCGGCGCGCTGCGCACACGCAGGAGGCAGTTTTCCGTAGTCCGCGAGCTACGTTACGCGATCTACTCTTGTACACACACACACACACCCACCCACACATTAGACACGCATACATGTGTAGACTAGACGTGTTCCCTTGACTACCCTGCGGAGCACAGCAGACACACATTGTATTATTACACGAGCTCAACGAGCGACGCCAGACTCAGGCGTAGAGGCAGTTCATGTAGCACATTGGCCGCACCTGGTTGCCAACGGCCTGCACCTATCTACCCGCAAGCTCTCGTCTCGCCTCGTCTCGCTTCTCTCATTCTTCTCCCCGGTGGCGGGATCGCCTCAAGTGCGTCGTTGTCGCGTTTCCAATCATCTTGGCTGTTGCATCGCGAACCGCTTCTCTATAACTATGCCGATAATTCTTTAGAAAATCCATTTTCTTTCTTCTTCTCTCTCTCTCTCTCTATCTTTCTCTCTCGAATGCGACGCGCAAGAAGCATGATAATACATCGAACCCGCGCGAATCGAGCGCCCTGCAGTGTCGTCGTTTCCGCGCCGCAAAGTTCATCGGCCGCGATTTGCCGATGCAGTTGATGATCGCGTCGATGCCACATTCGGTCTTTCGGAACGAGTTTCACACTGACGCGTGCGAACACGATCGAGACGAAGCTGAGCTTTTTTTCTTACTTTTCCTCGGCCAAAGCTATTCGAATTTTGACGCGCGCGAGTTGCAGTGATTGCTAATAGCGACGTCCTATGGAATTAGATGCGTCGAACCAACGACCTCGAGTGACCCGATTTCCCGGACAAGCGACTGAGTTATTTAGCGATTTTGAATAATCGTTTAGTGCAGTGCGTGCTTTTACAGTGATTTTACTCGACAAATTCGTGAATACCGGTAAAATGAGTGTAATAAAGATTTTGGCTGTTCATTTCATTGCATTGATAACCATCAATAATTTTGTACAAGGTGAGTTGAATTTCAGTTAGTTGAGCGCTATGATACATTTGTATATTCTGTCCATCCTCGTGGTCGAGAGCACATTAATCGAAATTTGAAAAATATCAATGATTATAATTAGTAGATAATTCGTTTTTGAAAATCTTCAACGATTTTACTCACATTTTCTTGTAATGCAGAAAACCAAAGTCAATGAGAGAATTTTTTTCTTATAATTTTTCGTTGTAATCATAAAGTTTTATAATTAAGATCGAGTGTTTAATAAATGTAAGACCAAAATGCGGAAGTAATTGTCATACGTAATAATGTTGAAAAATGTTAAAAGAGATTCTGTCCCCTATATAATAATAGTCGCTTAGTCCCCTAAAAGACGAGTTAATTTTCCTCGTGCCGATATCTTGTTATACAGCTGCAGTGAATCATTTTCCTGTAATACAATATTTACGCACTTATCGATTCGCCTACATACGCAGAGCGGCAGGAGCTAAGTTTCATTATAATAGTCGATAAAGCCAAAGATCTCGCATGACGTGCCCGCGTTCAATTTTATGTTGAGGATGCAGTTCATTCAACTCGCTCCTTTCGTGCATTATTATTGGCACGTGACTTATTTAATGCGCGAAGCGATGCATAATTAAATTTCGAATGGAAAAAATTGTTGTATTTTCCACAGATGTGGAGGGAATCGCTTGCTACATGTGCAAATCCGTGAACGGCAGTTATCCTCCTTGCGACGATACTTTTCACAACAATCAGACGGACAATTTACTAGCCAGCCCCTGCTTTAGTGGCCGAAAGGGACGTATCGGCTCGTTTCCGGCTTCGCATTGCAACAAGCTCACGGGTGTTTACGGTGAGTTTCTTCGCTTTTATCAAACAATTAGATACGTTTATTGCTCGCATGAAATACGTAACGAGTTGCGATCTACGATCGGCAGGCGACGATGGCTCGACGATCACGATAAGATTTTGCTCTCTGGACAGCGGCTCGTTGACGATCGATTCCGAGCTCGTCAGAAGCTCCAGTTGTGGCGGCTTCGTATTAGACGGGAGGTAAGCGTGGCTCTATTCCGCATTCGTCATGCGGCACTTATATGCTTCATCTTCTATTCACTACATAATTTTTTTTTTATAGACACGTACACGGATGCGCTATGTCGTGCAATGATAACGACGGCTGCAATTCGGCCATTCGATCGATGAGCTCATCGATTGTCACGATCGCTACAGCCACATCTCTGTCGCTCTTCGCTTTCGCAGTTGTGAGCGCGTAAACAAAAAATTGAAAAAGAAATACTCACGTTACCTGTGCACTGCCACCTGCGGCTACTAAATATAACAATATATTTCTGTCGTGTTACAATCGAAGAACAATAATTTTATATTTACAGCCTTTTGCTAATCGAGCGTTGTATATGTTAAGCACGCGACGATTCAAATATGTGTGTAATATTCTTTCATCGAAGACTGTTTAGAAATAATTGACCAAGATTCATCAAACGAAGCAGAACTCTTTTATCGTTGGCCAATTTTTTGAGGACGAGCCACAATCAAAAATGTTTGCTTGCATTCATAAGGACGACAGTATAATATTATAATGTACATTTTGTAACTATATGATAAATTATAAATATTTTACACAATCACAGCAATACAACTGCCTTACTCAAATGTAAATTATAAAAAATACTCAGCCATGGGTGTAAACGAATGAACTATAAATATATATATTATTATAAATCTCTAATTGTGTGAAATCTTCGACACGAGTGTAAGCGCGGGCACGCATATTCAAGTATATTTTAAGTCTTTTTACGCAATCTATACATTATCGTCGAGAAAATAAAAGAAAATTTACTACAAAGACTCGTGGGTCAGATTTCCCCCTTTTTTAATGCGCAAGTTTACATATACAGGACCTCGAGGTTGCTGAAAGTTTTTTTCGACAAAAAAAAAAACGAATATCAATGCGACGGTGCTTACGCTGACGTTCAGTAGCGAAATTCACGTGCCATCCCTCGACGCGCGCTCCGTGTCTTATCGCGTACTTTAAAACCGGGAAAATTTCGTTTTAGTCTATTAAACCTAAAAACAAAACTAGCCAGAGTAAAATCATGAATCAGCGCTGTACGAAATTGCCGGTACGGGCCGTTAACAAGAATCGCGAAGTAGCCGATGATCGTGCCCAAGTCGTCGCGCAACCCCAACAGCGTCAGCTGCAGCAGCAGCAGGACGAAATGCCGGAGCAAGTCGACGAGTGTGTGGCCATCATGGAAACGACGACGATCACGGACTACGGCAAAACTCCGGCGAACACGGTAAGATTTGCCTTTTCAATGCGCAGACACATTGCGAAATAGCGTATCAATCGTTATCGCGTCCCAGGGCACCCGATTCTCGCGGATGCTCGCGTGGCCCATCAAACTGCTGCAGCAGTTGGGCTGCAGGGTGACTCTGGAACTCGGCCGATTGCTCGACGACAAGGTGTCGAACGCCAACTCCGAAGACCCCATCAAATACCTCAAGAACATCGCGTCCTTCGTGATTTGTCTCGTCATCGTTAAGCACTACTCGGATTACATCGATAATGTTGGTGTCCGATGGAGCGATCTCGTTTTTCGCGCGCATTAATCAATTCAACTTGATACGACAATCGTAACGACGTTACAGATGATCGAGACATTCATAATCGCCTCTTACGAAGAGATAACGCACTTGTTCAGGCTGCTGAACAATTTGGAGTGCAAAGATTTCGACACGATAGGGGCATTCTGCATAGTCGTATTGTTCTGGATCGGAGCTTATCGCATCGTGCGCAACATAATTGTCAAAATAGCCGAGGCCCCGAAATTATGCAGCTAACCACGGTAATAATCTATTTGTGTTTGTATACGTACCTTGCGGTTGTGCCTCTTTGCGTCTCCATCGCCTTCTCCACGAGGAAAAGTTAACTCCGAATATCCTCATTATAAAAAGAAAAAAAAACTATTTAATCACCATCACTGTGCACGGCACTTTAGAAAGTCTTATGAACACGTGTCAAACAATTATGAATCCTTGTTTACAGGTATTCGCTCTGTGGGTCACGCATTGCAGTAAGCTAGAGCTTCTGTTTGTTTTGGTGTTGTACATCGTACGAAGATAATTGATGGAGCTATTTGATTTATAAATGAAAATTCTGTACGGAGGTTATGTGTATATAAACAACATTTTATTATTATTATAATAATAATAATTATATACACACTTGTATGGTATAAAATAACTTTAGAATATCTATTTAAAGATCTAATTATTCTATATACAATATATTGTCTATCATTTTCTTACACGTGCTTAAAATATGGTTATTTTATTTTAGTTTTCTTCTCTCGACGTTAGGAGTACAAGTATGAATACGTCGAAACATGGGTACATCGAAGTACATTTCGTGTAAACATGAAAATCGTAGTCGATAAAAAATAGTCATCTATGCTCATTGGGGGCTAAATTATCGTGTCTCTAGTAAATACGAAATAAGTGTAAAGATAGCACTGATGGATCAATTGCCCGTACATTCTGTGCATGTTATGATTCCCAACAGCTAACATTTCCATGATTATGAATGTTATAATGCACGAGTAAAATATTCTAATTAAACTTGCAATTATAAGTAAATTTATAAAAATTATTCTTAAGGCCGAATACATTCGCGATAAGGCCACTGCGTAATACTTTGATTTGACTCAGCTTAAAAAAAATTTGCAATTGATTTTATGGAAATTCATAAAAAAAGTTTATGAACCGATGAAGAGATGATTATTTAAATAAACGACCTCCAGTCGATTATTCAATCACTTGAACAAAGTTTCTTTTTTTCATAAGAATGAAGCGTCAGTTTCTTTTACTCGACTATTGTAATTTTCAATCTGCGCTCGGGCCAAGAGAATGTTTTTGGTAATTGTAGCTGGAAAAATACGATTTAATTATTTATAGACGTGTGTATAATAATAGTCATAATAATATTCAGTTTATTACTTGTTGTGAGCCATCAAGAATTTGTAGTTCCTGGGCCATTGTCTCTGCTAATTCGTCGGAAAGAAGAATCTGTAGCCAAGGAGACTGGAAGACGTATGGATTTTCTGTCGTTGCTATCGCACCGCTAACCGTCGATGCAACAAATGTGATTGCTGCATTCGTTATGAATGATTTGAAAGTAAAGTGTCGCCCGTGCATGATTCTTCCTCTGTAAAAATTAAAAAAAACACGATGAAAAAATATTCATGTACATAGAATAGCTTTCAAACAATTAAATTCTTACTTTATCGCCAACGGAAGTATCGATCCAGCCTCGCGATTGAACGTCAAATGAACTCCATCTAATTTAACGATCGGTACATTTTCGGATTCTGATTGCAGCTCTGGATCCTCGGCGGACATCTGCGATACCGATCTTAAATTCGATTCGTCCTCGTCATCCGAGTCTTGTTTTAACGTGTCCCTATATTTTTCTTTGTCAACGTCTTTGTGCATTCGTTCCCACCAACATTTGGCGGTGACCGCGCAAAGATCCGAACCCTCGCGCTCTATACCCATGCGGATTTTTTCTGCCACCGTTGAATCCTCTTCCATTATGGATTTTACTCGTCGTGGGTTAGTTATGAGCCAGGGACCACAGATTTGACTACTTTTCAAGAGCTCCAATACACCGAGTCCGTTCCAATGCTGAGCCGCTTGAAGTTCTTGCGCTGTTATGCCCACAATTTGTAAAAATGATACCTGTATGAGGAATAGGTTTTATTTGGTGATGAGATATTTTTAAGGTATTTAAAAAAAATGGCATTGAAAGGGCTAAGAGTCGTACCGTTCCGTGTGGCGAATTAAAAGTACGAAGCTGTGGGTCTTCGGCCACCAATATTTCGTTGATTTTGCCGGGTCCGGCGTGTATTCCCGCGGTAGAGTCCAACGGCGAGTGCTGAGCCACGTGATCGCCCGGATAGAGTATGTTGCCCGACGAAAAGATGTATTTGCTGAGCTCCTGCATCATTTGGGCCGGCCACGGTGGCGGCGTGTGCTGACCAGGCTCGCGCAGCAGTCGGAACGTGAGCTCGAAACCGAAGCCGCTCGCCCGCGGCGGATTCGATCGTTTGTGCACTCGATTGTCGCCGTGAAGATCTGTCAGTCCTAGGCTGGGAACAGACGTTATGTTTTACGATACGATTGTTATGATTTACAATTGATCGAGCGACTTTTCACTCGCAGCTATATTTACATGGGCTATCTAAATTTTTCTTATGCCTCAAGGGTTAAAAACGAGAAATCTTCATTTCCGGTACGTATATAAACAAAGATCTTAACACGCGTCTGCACTCAAGGCTCGAATCTTACATCGTACTTGATATTTTTCTTCTTTTTGGCTCTTTTTCCCCGTGGCAGTTATTATTAGCAAAGGAAGAGTGTGAATATGAGAGAAGCACTTGAGAGCAGGGGATTTATTTCCCTATAAAAATACATATGGCTCAGTAAATTAAGTAATTTTTGCACATCACATTGTAAAACTTTAAAATATTAATTGTTATTTTAAATATTTTAATTAATATTTATATTTACAGGCTCACGAACTGCATCGTACGAAAATGTTTGTAATATTTATATTAAAAATGACAATTGTATTTTAAGAATAGAATAATGTTTTATCAGATCTAAAGAATATTTAAGTAAATTTTTTTTTTGAATTATTTATTTACCGGTCAGTGGCCAATAATTTTCAGAAATGTAGCAATCTGTGTATTAGAAAACGAAACGAATTAATATCAGAGTTGTTAAATCCATAATCTCGAGATGTCTACGAAGGGCCGAAGAGCATCTAATTTAAGAAGAGACGCTTTCGTGCATTAGAAAATTTCCCCCTTTCCAACTTTGTTTTAATCTTTTGGAAATGGAGAGAAAAGACGACGAAAAAAAAAGGAAGGAAGGAACACATAAGACGAGTTTTTCTGACAGGGGCGCGTGCCGTCGATTGATATTTATTTTTAGAATTACTCGCACGACGACGTTATAAGTTAGTCTCTGCGGTGACTGTCACGAGTTTCCGATAAAAATCTCCGACGCATCTTACGTTCATGATTCGCAGTAAATCACGACGAATAAAATAGCTGTCACGTTATTATTTTCTCTGCTGCGTGAAAAGCGACAAAGATGCAATTTTTGTCCTTTCCACATCATCCACATGGTCGATTTATTATAATAATAAAGAAAAGACGCGCTATGGGTTCTCCAGCGAGGCAGAAGATAATTGCGTGGATCGTGTGTGTACCTATACTCCCTAGTAAATAAAGAAAAGAAGATTCGCTTACTCACCTGACATAATGCCAATGCGGTGGAACTCCGAGCTCCGGACAGCCGGGATTTTCGAACATGCTCACGTAGTCCAATGGATCCGGACCACCCAGCCTGAAAACACACACACACATAACGGGCATGTCATTGTTTTTCCAGAGCAAAAATTTGCCATACAGGAGTATCGCATTTGCGAGTCTACATGGCGGCATGCGCAGCTCGGATCGCGTATAAAAATCGCGATTACTCGGAATCGGCTGCAGTAACAGCGAGTAATATTTTTAAATAAATATATATAATCATCGTCTTGGTCGTCGCATCGTCGACGGCGTGCGCTGCGAAATCTTACTCCCGCTGTCGCGCCTTATTTTGACAACAAAAGTCTGTATGTAAAGTTAACATGCTGCTGCTACGACTGCTACTGCTGCATGCATAGTCGTCTCCCGCGCGGTGGCCGCGATTAATCAAGATAAGGAGCTCGCACTTATATATACAGCCGTAAAAAAAAACGTTCGTAATGATGCTTTTTCGGTATATGCGCGTGGTTACATCGAAAAAACGGAAAGTACGCCTTTTTTCTTTGCGCAGACACACACAAAAGCCGAGAACGTGCGACCACCCAAGATGCCCCCATCGACGGCGGCGGCGACGACGACAAGCAACAAGTATATTACACGATCATACTGCATGCGCGAGTATACGTGTAGATTATGATGTATCGCGAGTATACATGAGCGAATACGCGAGAGTTGGCGTAGCCATGAGCTGCCTGTATTGCAGCGAGCCGTGGACGATGGACGGCGGGACGTTCCGCACTAAACTCACCAGTACTTGACGACGGCCGTGACGGTGAGAGGATTCGGCTGGTCCGGATAAACCCGATCGCAGATCTGGTGTATGGACTCGATGCCCGCCGGGGTTCGAAATTGGCTGACGGGGTCGCGCTTCATATTGCAGATCTCCATTGCCGGTTGCATCTGTGCACGATATTTTTCCACCACAAATTCGACGCGAGATCAACGAGACTTCCAAGCTTAAAGGTTATATATAAATATATTTGTGTGTATATGCCGTGGGTGCGAACAGAGTGCGGAGGAGATGCGTCACAGGCAAGTACCGAGCTGACACTAGTCTGTGTGTAAGGCCTGAGTCTGACTGCTGCTCCGAAAGCGAACGTGCTCCGCCACTCATTGGCTCTTCTCGAGTTCTGAACCTTCCTTCTATTTTACGCATCGCAGGCGGTGCACATTGCAGCCAAGGCGGTACGAAAGGACGCTGCACCGCGTCGACCAACTCGTAGCATATACATCTCTCGCGCATATACTGACATATCCCTTATAAGATAGGCCTGTTTGAATACAATCGTCTACTTGTGTGCGTATCTCTCGCTTATTATTGTGCTGGTGTCGTGCAGCTGCGCTTAGCCTACTAGTTACTACACTGACACGAGTGCGACGACTTGCAGAGACATAAGAAAAGAGTGGGAGACTCTTTATACTCATAGGGCTTGTGGTTTGTTTGTATTAGGTATATTCAACCAAACAAGCATGTTCTACGTTTGTATTATTTGAGATATACAGTCCAAAAACAAAATTCGGTAAACTTGGTGTTATTTTTATCAAGTTTTAATACGCATAACGTATGCTCGAAGTATTCTCACAGAATCATTGCTGCTTTGCAATTAATTGAAAATGTTCGATTTTGACAACTAATGAAAATGGGTATCTTTGCATCAATAAAGTTTGTATCTGTTGTATTGATTCTTATAATCCATCAATTGTCTGGGCTGGTCTTACAACCTGTTCAACCACGTACGGAGTCACAACCAGAATATAGACCAGAGGGACCTCTAGTCCTCTGTAAATTTCTGTAAGTAACTTTTCAATAGTTATCAACTCTTTGCTATTTTATGATTAATCAAGTGTTGAATATTTAACAGGCCCAAAGAATTCATCGAATGTGATGACCCTATTGACCACAAAGGCAATAAGACTGCCAAAGATGAAGCTGGAATGGGTTGTGTAAAGTTTGGTGGCTCTCGCTATGAAGACGTTGAACGCACCAAAGTTTTTTGTACAGTCTTACCTGATATTGAGTGTCACGGGTGCAAAACATTTTTACGAGATGGAGTTCCTTGCATCAAATATAGTGGGCATTACTTCACGACAACATTACTGTATAGCATATTATTAGGTTTCCTTGGCATGGACCGATTTTGTTTGGGACAAACTGGAACTGCAGTTGGAAAGTTATTAACTCTTGGTGGTATTGGAGTTTGGTGGGTTGTAGATGTGATTTTATTAGTTACAAATTCTTTACAACCTGAAGACGGAAGTAATTGGAATCCATATGTTTGAACATAACATGATCCCACTGTATGAAATAGTTGTAAATACACAAAGTTTATTTCTACTGTTTTTATTGCATTCAAATAAGTTTTTTTGTTTTTTAAAACGTTGTATTATCTATTATTATTGTATAGATTATGAATTTTCTACTTTGAGATAATTTATTGAATAAAAAAACACATTGTACAGTTTTAATAAAAATGTATATTTTCTTAATACAATTATATTTTAATATTAAAACTTTACTTATCATAAAACAACAGTACAGTAAGTTTTTGTAAGACAATTCAAATGTTACATTGACAGTCTCGATATTTACACTTTGAAATAGATTCCTTCAAAACTTTGTATGTATCACAAATTCAGATTATGATCGGCTGGATGGTACAATTCACTGATGTACCGATAAAAGTACGAGGGTGCATTTCCTCCTCTACATGGAAAAGATAATTTAACATATCAGTTAATTGTATGTTAATAAATTATTAAAGTTTTAAGTATAATTATATTAATCTATAATTATTTACCTGTCTGATATGAAAAGTGTGACTAATTCAGGTGGTACATAGTCAAATACTGGATTAATTATTGTACACCTATCTGCCAAACTTGCATCGTCGGGATTAACAACGCCTTGTGTTGGTGCCATGACTTTATGAAAATAATTATTTGCTTCAAAAGCATCTTTTTCCGTTGGACATAATTTATAAAGTGGTACAAGTACAATAACAGGTATTGAGTAATAGTTAGCTGCTAATGCTAAGGGGTGAGAACCAGTGTAAGCTCTTAAACCACCCGAAGCCATCACTGCATTGGTACCAATTATTACTTTATTGACACGAGACATCATCGCAAAAATAGCTGCATCTGATATTAATGTAGTTTGAATGTTTGCTTTTGATAAATTTGATGCCATATCATGACCCTGAAAAGTAAGTAGTTATCTTAAGATTTTTTTTGTACTGAATTAAAACTTTGATTAAAATATATTTTAAACTACGTTTCACTGGATAATTGTCAATATAAATGTAATTAATAATTTATTACCCCTAAAAGTGGTAAACCAGCAGCAACAATAACTTCAAAAGTTCTGGTTTGTGCAGCTTTTTTCAGAAAATCTTCAACCAATTTTGAATAACCCAAAGTCATGATAATCTCATTAGCATGTAAGTGCTGTTTAGCTTGTTGAATGATGTTTTCTTTGCTAAAATACAAAATAAAACCAATGATAAAATAAAAATTTATTTAGGGCAGTGACATTTTTCATTGATATATACCAAGTTTCCAGTTCTGTTACAAATTCATTAATGTGATCAATAATAGATGTTTTTAATGTAGGCACTATTTTAGAATAGTCTATGTCTTTAGTTCTCCTTTCTGAAGTCATAGTTTTTTTCAAGGAGTTTGAAGTATCTTTTTCCCCGGTCTTGCTTTCCAAATCTTCAATATACTCTTCTCTGATAATATGAAGTATTCTCTTAATCATATTAGATGTACAAGTTTCTGTTGGATCAGCTTCCATCAAATGATCGCCATTCATATGAATCAAATCAATCAATTCTCTATAATTAATAATTATGGTTTAAAAAAAAATTTAATTCCTTAATATTATAAAAATATGATAAATTTTTGTACACACTTCGCAGATGTCCATCGATCATTCATTACAACATCTTTAAGAGAAGCTACGGTTCTAAACACAACTTCTGATGCACTTTTGTGAGATCTATAACTAAAAGGCAAATAAATTACGATAATCATTTATGATTTAAACTTCATTATTTGAATTTCCTGCAGAAATATAAAATTCGAAAATACAATAACCCAGATGTAATTTTTAAACTTACGAGGCATTTGATAATTCTTTAGCAAAGAGTGCAACACTTTTATTAATTTTGAAATCATTTTCATCATTCGTTGAGGAAGAACTGTTCAACTGAGAATCTGATGTTGCCATAATTAATTTTTATTAATTGTTAATTATACAGAACACCACACTGAGGTAACAAATGAATACAAACAGTATTTTTGGTTAATTGCAGTGCCAACACTGCCAACTGCAGCTGTTGCGGATACAAGAATGCCGACTGGACGACTCCGCTAGTGGAATTGTGCCCAGTGACATAGATAACCTTTTAGGGGGCGGGAACCGCGTAGAGTAGTTTAAAATTTCAATTTAATTACAATTTTATTCTACAATGAAAATAAATTATAAAATAATTAGCTCAGAAAATTATCAAATCAAAACCAAAATGATGACGAACACAAAACATTTCATGGAATCATCTAAATCTCGAAAAGAAATGTCAAGTTTCAATTGTCCAACACTTAGCAGAATACATTTTGAATATTTGACACCACGCCACACCAGACGTCACTGTGTCATGCCCATGTGTTGTGACCTGCAATGAGCTCATACTCTCGTGGTGCGTCAAGTTGTTGATATTCAGAAATTTCGAAAAATTGGTATTAATTTAAATTAAGAGTTTTTTTATTTAAGCGTGACAGTGAATTATTTATATAATCATGGCCAATATTGGAGACGTTGTAAGTACAATACACAATTACTTCAACAATTGAATACAATACAACTTATATTCCTTATAACCTATCTATCTCAACCAAGTGAAAACTTTAATGAAAAGAATATCATAATTTTATAATCTTTATACATTTATAATTATAATAATACATGTTAATTGTAATTGTTAATTGTTAATGTGGATTTAAATTTTTCATTTTAGTCTGCCAATCAACTTATGACTGGAGCAAGTGTTCTGTCACGACCTGCTGAAGAATTTGAAAATGATGTAAGTAAACGCAGCCACATCATTTATACAATAATTATAAATTATGGAAAAAATTAATAAAATATTTTCTTACTGTAAATAGCAAACAATTGAAGCTATGTGGGCAATGAAGTGTATGCAACATGCAAACATTTATTTTAATGTGAGTATTAATTTTTAATATTGATTAATTTTTTATTCAAAATGATCAAGAAAAAAATCTTTTTTACAGCTCTTAAGTTCAGTTGATCCAAAAAATTTAAAACTCACACCTCATGATGATGTCATTTACAAAGCATTTAGAGACCTCTTTCCAGATTTTAAAATTGATGTTATTAATGAAGATGAGCTTAAATCGCCAGCTAGCAAAGAGAAGTGGAGACCATTTTGTGAAAAATTCAAAGATACTGTGGAGGACTATAGTTTTGGTACATTAATCAGGGCTGACTGCAAAGAAGATTATAGTCAAGAAAATAGTATCCTCACAACAAGAATACAATTTATTGCAATAGAAACAGCAAGAAATAGAGAAGGTTTCAATGACATCGTAAGAAGCAAATTTTCAACGCCAAAATGTTGACAAACTTGATATCTTAGTTTTTTAATTTTTTATGTTGTGTAATTTAATATAATTTTATAAATAAATACAACAATGAATTTACTCTATTGTTTATCACGATTTTTTCCTTTTAACCTTTTTCTTATGTTATTTGTTTATTTCGTGCGTAATTATTCTAGCATTAGATTTTAAGATTTAATTTAATTTTCATCTTTTTTGTATAACTTAATTTTTCCCAGTTATAAAATATAAAAATCTATTTTATTAATTTCAACAGTTAATCAAAAAAAAAAATTACGTATACAATTCAAGTCCATCAGTAATTGATGCGCAAACGCATCTGAAAGTTTTATTATTGAATGACAAGATGACTCAATTCATGATTTTGTGGAATAATACCGTAACCGAATTTCGAGACGACGACCGGTGTTGGCGAGCGTGTCGCCTGTATATTTCGCAGTATCGTGGTTATATCTACTATTCATAGTTGTTACATCTTAGTGCTACTGCGGCATTTGCCACGTGCAGATCAAAGTTATAAGTACCAGATACAATTATTTTGAAGATTTTTGATAAACATGACACCTCAACCTGTTTCTTTGTGCGCCGGAGATGAGCTTCATCCAGACAGGACGTTCGTCAACATTAAAGATGTGGACAGTTCTTACGCTGGAAAGAATGTGTGGATCAGAGCAAGGTTGCATACAAGCAGAGGCAAGGGCAAAACTTGTTTTGTTGTATTTAGACAACAGTACCATACAATACAAGGCTTAGCTGTTGTTGATGATAAAAACATCACCAAACAAGTTGTGAAATTCATTTCTGGAATAAGCAAAGAGTCCATAATCGATGTACATGCTAAAGTTCAAAATGTTCCTAAGCCTGTTGAGTCTTGTACCCAAAAAGATGTTGAATTACTCATCGAAGAGTTTCTTGTTGTGAGTCTGGCAGAACCCCAATTGCCATTACAAATTGAAGATGCTGCAAGACCTGTGACTGAAGATGATGAAAACAATTTAAACATCAAAGTAAATCAAGATACAAGATTAGATAACAGAGTACTGGATCTCAGAACACCTGCCAATCAAGCTATCTTTAGATTGGAAGCTGGAGTTTGCAAACTTTTCAGAGATGTTTTGACAGAAAAAGGATTTGTAGAAATTCATACTCCAAAAATTATATCTGCTGCTAGCGAAGGAGGTGCTAATGTATTTACTGTTTCATACTTTAAAGGTTCTGCATACTTAGCTCAATCTCCTCAGTTATATAAACAAATGGCTATTGCTGCTGATTTTGAAAAAGTTTTTACTGTTGGTGCTGTATTCAGGGCTGAAGATTCTAATACTCACAGGCATTTGACAGAATTTGTTGGTCTTGATTTGGAAATGTCATTCAAATATCATTATCATGAAGTTATGAATACTATTGGACAACTGTTTACTGAAATATTCAAAGGTCTGCAAACTTCTTACCAAAGTGAAATTGAAATTATTAATCAACAATATAAAGTTGAACCATTCAAGTTTTTGGATCCGCCACTCAAACTTGAGTTTCCTCAAGCAGTCAAGTTACTGAGAGAAGCTGGAGTAGAAATGGGCGATGAAGATGATTTATCAACACCTAGTGAAAAGCTTTTAGGAAAAATTATCAAGGCTAAATATGATACTGACTTTTACATGCTTGATAAATATCCATTGGCAGTCAGACCCTTTTATACAATGCCTGACCCTAACAACCCTAAAGTTTCTAATTCTTACGACATGTTTATGAGAGGTGAAGAAATTATATCCGGAGCCCAAAGAATTCATGTTCCTGAATTATTGATTGAAAGAGCCAAACATCATGGAGTAGATATAGACAAAATCAAGTCATATATCGATGCTTTTAGATATGGATGCCCACCCCATGCTGGTGGTGGAATTGGAATGGAACGTGTTGTAATGCTTTATCTTGGATTAGATAATATTCGCAAGACATCTCTGTTTCCTCGTGACCCTAAGCGAGTTACACCTTAAAAAGATAAAAGCCATCTTACATATTGAATTTATTCATTGCCTAAATACCAGGAAGAAAAATTTTTAAAAGAAACCAGACTTGTAAAAAATTATGATAAATTCATAATTTTTACAGAAATTGGCTCTAAGACAATTACTTTGTTCCATGTAATATTTTATGAAATGTTTATACAAAAAATAAAGTGTTAATGATATAAAAATAATATACTTCTAATTATTCTCAGTTCAATTTTATTTTAAATTCCCTAAATAGTAAAGAAATCTTTATTTTCAAATCAAAATCTAAATCTAAATTATAGTCACATTTTATATTTCTGAAGATATGGTTTATATAATTTAAATTCTTTATAGTATAATTTTAACTCTTCCTGTAAGAAAAGTATGATTTTTTCTTATTTTTGGTATTTATAGAATAAAAAGATTTATGATTTCCCTCAAAACTAGGTTTTATTTATTAATTGATCAAAATAAATAAAAACTTGTACACAGATAAATCCATATCTAAATTGTACTCATTACAGAAGATATAAAGATTAACACTAACAATCCAACCTACCAATTTGAAAGCCCTTATACCTTAATATTTACAATAATTTTTCTTTGTGAAAATAGGAATGTAAAGAGTTATTTCGAAAATATTGGTAATATAAAGTATTAAAGTAAAAAATGTTTATCTAAAGATTTTACGTCGTAATACAATCTGTATAAAAGTTATAATTTTTCAAACTGACTTTTTATCAAAAGCGCCAGTGTGCAAGTTTGTACATAAATGTTACAAAAGTTTATGGCAGTTGTGAGACAAAAAAATTGTGATCACTGTGTGTATTCAAAATTGTTGTTGTAACCAACATTTTTTTATATAAAAATTAAACATTGTTAAATGTGCCTCATGTGCGTTAGCTATTAATATAACATTAGAAATATTCAAAATTTTTAAGCTCTCTGTTTAAGTGTTATGAACGTTATTATAAAATTATTTTAAAAATTCTTCAACAGTTTAACAAAGACAATTTTCTTGCCAATAAACAATGAGCGAATAAAAAACTATTAACGTGCGATATTAAATATATTTTCATAAAACTTAAAATTTCCAAGACTAGAATTCTTCCTTGTAACTTAAAACAGAATCCGTTACATTTTTTAAACGTAGATTTTTGAAATTAAATTCGGAATTATTTGTCAAAAGGTAAACAATGCATCCCAAGAGTAATAATATTATGGTTACAGAAACAAAAAGGAAATGCTTTACTGAATTCAAGTTATTTTCAATCTTTGCATTACGTTCTTCCAAACGAGATATCTGTAAAAAGAATTGTAATTGTTTTATTATTTTTATGAAAATTTGAGAATTAAATTTAATAGTTGTTACCTTTGAAAATAATGAATTTAATGATTGATCACCACCATATGCACCAGAGTTTACTAAAATTGATTTTAGGCCATCTGGACTTCCATTAGCATCTTTGCACATTAATCTATGTTGTTCAGCCTGACTTCCATAGCTCTGAAAATTCATATTAATAAACATGAATTAATAATAGTTATAGGATTTGTAAAATTTTTTAAATTATTATCAATCAACTATACGTACCTTCCAGAATTCAATTAATTCTTGATTTGTGAACTTTTGAGAATTTTTAATTGGCAAGCACATAATAAGAAATTTATCATTAGGCAAAAGATTACGAGTTTCATATCCAGGTTGCATGGTTATTGTTACTGCAGTAGTTTCAGAGTAAGGCAGAGTTCCTGTACATGGTCGAACTTTGAATTTTTCAGGAGACGTTGTTTTAATCTATAAAGAATGAATACATTTTTATTTTTTCATGTTTAAAATTGCCATCAGAATTCAATGATTGTCAAACCTTATAAGATACACTTTTGTCAGCAGTATTGTTTTTTAAAGTAATTGTACCAGTTATTTCACTGCCAATTTTTTTGAAAATTAAAATATCTGGCTCGACAGTCAACACTGAAAACCATATGTCAAGAAAATATTTTAATTATTTTCATATTTTAGGTAGGATATTGAAGTTTAAGAATATTTACATTTTTCCCTTTTTGATTGATCTCCAAAATCAGAGTTGGGTGAATCTGGCGTGCTACTATTAAAGTGTACCTAGAGTATAAAAACACATACTTTTTAGTGATAAATAATAAACAAATTTTTTTAAATATTACATTTTTATCCCCTTTGCCGTTTGACATTCCAATTTGTCTCTCAGGTAGAAATATAAATGCAAAATCGTTGTTTCCACCCCAGCATTTTAAAGCATCATTAGGATCAACAAAATTGTCTAGTGTGTTTCTTTTCACATTTTTTATTTTTGGAATAGCCTTAGCAGGTAGCCAAGTTTTAATAATATTGAAAGCTGCATTCAAGACCCATGGCATTTCAAGTATAATGATGTAATTTAAGAAATTAGGATAGTAATTTTTAAATAAACCAATCAGATATTTAGTCAATTCCATATCCATATTTGATATTCCAGAATCAATCATGTCAAAAAATAATGATATTTGGTCTCCATTGCCTTCTCTGTGAAAATATTAGAATGTATATAATGTAAAATTATGTGTACGGAAGAATTTAAATTTTGATGAGTTTTATGTACCTTTCTAATCTTTCAAACCAGTACACGATGCATCTTTGCAGTTCATTAAAGTCCCTTGAACCTTTTGTGTGTAATTTCGACTTAATAACAAATAATTTCTTCCCATCTATATCTTTTCCATAACCAAAACAAACACCATCTTCCAAATAGTCTCTTCGTACATTATTTTCAGTTATATCTGAAATAAGAAAATTCATAATAAAATGTATTAGAAATAAGAAAAAAATTGAGAATTTTTAAAACATTGTTAAATAAATTTCACCGTTAGTTCCAAAATCTCTTCGCCATTCACATGTATCCCAAAGCATTTTCAATGCTTCTGTAACATTGTTTTCGTGGTGATCTAAAAATCTCTTCAACCAATCATCAGTTTTGACTCTATTGATATCAGCTGGATGGAAATCTCCTATAATTAAATATTTGCATTAAATAAATTATATTCAAAGGGTAGAGTCTTTTTTATCTGTATGTAACACTAAACACTTTTGACATCTTGTACTTAAATATGGATTCACAAGAAAATAAAAAATCTTCTGCTGGATTCAAGGTAAAATATTGTTTTTTTTTTAAAAATGATACAAAAATTGTGTTGTGAGTCATCATAATCACTGTTTCATCTAATGATGAATTTGATGGTATTTTTAGTGATAAAAACATATCATTGCCTGCAAAGATTACATATGGATATTGAAATGAGCTTGATTACAGTAAAATTTATGCAATTAAAACGGCGAAAAACCAGTCAAGGCAAACTGAATGAAGTGCAATCAACGCTAATATTCATAATTTAATCCAATTATGACGTGCAGATTTTGCATTGATGCAAAGTCTAATCGTAATCGCCAATGAATGGGCTTATCTCGAAAAAATTGCCCAGTAAGTGTTTCTCTATGAAAATTGATTTGTCATACTTATACGTTCTCGAAGAGAACTTAAAAATTCGAGCCGACTACCATAATGGCACATTTGTAAAAAAGTAAGAATATGCATATTAGCTCAAAGGCAAAAAAGTGAAATGTAATGACAAAAAACTTACGTCCACTCGGTGGTCCCTCTTCACGAAGTTTTTCGAAAAACTTTTCGCGTAGTTCAGCGATCCTTTCTGAAGTCTCGGTCATGGTGTTACTCAAATTCTCGATGACAGCGGCGCGGACGTTCTAAGGCGACGACGTAACGAAAAAAAAATCCTCGGGCTTTGTTTATTGCAAATTTTCATCTGTAACTCGAGTGAGAGCTGCGAAGCGCGAGAGCAGACTCGACGACCGGTTGTGCTGATGCTGATTGTATTTATGATATTACCTGCTGCGAGTTGTGCGTGTGTCAGTGCGACGCGAGACGTGTTGACGCGGCAACTGTTTTTCTTTTCGCAAAATATTATCTTGCGTATGTGACAATACATAAATGTATGGTTATGTTATGTACGTATATGTACATTTACGTATTATAGTGTCAGTGGATTACGCAGTCGTGTGCCTCGCGCGCGGTATATGTCAAGTTGTGTGTATGTAAATACATACACAGGCGGTAGTGTCCTATATACATATCGGTATGTGCAGATATCTATGTACAGGCGCAGAAACGCCACAGACTGCAGTTGTAAAAAAAGATTTCTTCATGACTTTCCGAATGCGCATTGTGTGAGTGGTCAGTTTTTAAAGATTAATCTATATTGCTTTATTATCATTATTATAGGTTTGATTTTTTTGAATGAAATAATCAGAGTTTCATTAAATTTTTCTTCTTATCAATGAAATAGATTGGTAACACAAGCAACGCAAATCAAGACCGTAATCGAACTTGTGTATGTTAAGATTTATCGAAAATTGTTATTTTTAACTTAGTTTAATTGTTTGTAACTTAATTAAATTTAGGAATTACACATTCTATGGGAATAAATTATGAATTTACTAAAAATCACACAGTATAACAATTTTTATTGATTATAACACTGGAAATATTAAGAATATAAATTTTCGACGAAGTTACAGTAATAATTCATGTTACAAATTTGGATTATGTATATTGATGTATTATTATTGAACGATATTAGAGCTAAAGTCGTCGATAAAAATTAGATAGATACCGCTCGTTACGCTGCGCCATGAAAATGCACTTGATATTTTCCTTTTTTTTAGTCACATGTATAAATTTAGTGACTGCTGTGCACATGATGTGATATATGCGGTTGTTTTCTTCGAAGGCATTTAAATTTTTATGTATAGTCTTCAACACCTTGGCGCAGTTTTTTGCTCGTTATCTAATATTATGCAATTGCTCGTTAAAATCATTTCAAACGCTCTTTACCAATCTTATAAGTGTGTAGGTCGAAAATAGGATAATATACATTTATACTTATATGCTATTGAAATGTATACATATATTCATAATGCACCATTCATTTATTTTTTCATTTTTCATTTTTCATTTTTCATGTAAAACGAGGCGTCTGATATGACTTTTTTTGTACACACACGACAATGAAATCGCAGATTATAATTCAACAATAAGCTGCGATTTGTCGTGCCATGCGATAAGTTTCTTAACTCGTTACATTTTCTTTGGCTTCATTTTCTTCTCACTTTTTTGTAAAAATTTATTTTTCAGTAAAATGAAAGAATAATGCTTCGTTTACAAAATACAGCTCAACTTGAATATATATTACATGTATCATCCTTACACCGTTACACGTACTCGCAATTCGACGTTCTGATAATGTTTCACGAAATTGATTGTCTCTTAGCTCGAAAATTATTTAGTGGAACGTTCCTACATTATTTGTTTCTTCTTTTCCAACTAATTTAACATTTGAAATTTTACATACTAATCGTAAAAACTCAGATCCGTCCGAAATATTTTTATACACGATTACGCGTTAAGTGGTATTAATAATCCATTAATCGTAACGTTAAACTTGTCTTTTCACCATTTGCTCGCGCTTTTTCGTTTTGTCGTTGTTTAGGTGACGTTTTGGCATATTTCCTACACTGTTTACTAGTTTAATACATGCATTCATTTACTTCACAAATATTCGGAAATGCTCATTCATCTCTCGTTCAAGAACTTATACTTATATGTATCAACTTGAATTGCAAATTCCCATTTCATTTTTACTTTTACATTTAAACCGAGATATACATTCTAATTGAACAATAAATAATATACTTCCTGGAGGATAACAACACATTTATTTTATCGAAGCTTACAACTTATCTATATAGAATTAATATATATGTTTCATACACATGTTTCAAAGTATAGGGTTGACAGTTTTCTTACATTAAAGACAATTGAAATGAATTTTAGATGATTTCGGGACAAATGGACACACACACAAAATTCAAAATTTCAACAACAATCTTTCTATGTACAATCCAATCATATACAAAGTCCCGAGATAGACTAGATATTTATGCTGCTTGGAGGACAAGTGATTTTGCTTATTTTGTAATGTGTCGTAAGCAATTATAAAATATATTTAAAGCCTATATATGAGCGATGGGTGTGCAACTGTATATTACAATGAAATGTTTGGTTTATGATGAGAAAAAAAGATCCAAGTCTTTGGACGTGCAGCTGATATTTTTCGTTTAAAACTTTTCGTGTGATAATGATGAAGTGCTATTTATTGTATAGAATATTTAAAATCAACGTCAACATACGCGAGAATTATCAAGCAAAATTTTCGTGACTGATATATCGACGACGTTTGAACATTGTTGACAAAAATATGATAGATATGTTTTTTTTTGCTCAAAACATCTGTTGGCTATGGAATAAAAAACAAAATGTCGTATTTTTTTAATACGGCTTAAATGCAAACTTGGTCAATGCAATTCGATGCAAAAAAAAATAGAATTCGAAATAGCTGATAATTGGTACATATGATATGCATGTATAAAAGAGCATGTGCACATTTCGATATGTTTGAAACGAATTAATGGTCCGATGTTTTGCAAATTGTTCATTAAATTTTTTGTTTTTCCATCGAAGAATTAATCACACGTTTGTTATTTCGTCGATGACTAATCTGTTTTGAAAATTATACGAAAAAATGATGCAGTGAAATATGATCGAGTTCGAATGAGTTTATATGCATTTATCCATAAAATCCACTTTGAAAATCAAAGGTTTCATTCGTTAAAACTCTCATTCGCTATAATTCTACGAAACCACTCAGCATCCTTCTTCGCGGAATTATCATTTGCAAAAAATATTTCTCACGTTGCTAATTTCTGTGCTGACTACAATAATGCGTTAGCTAATTTATGTAATAATATAAATCGTGGCATGGCTAGGCGTTGCTCCCTATAGCCATTCCCCCCTTGTTTATATGTAAATATATATATAAGACAATCGGCGAATTCTGTTTGAGGGGGGGGGGGGCAGGTGGTTCGCAAGATATTCAGTTCAGACGCGATTGAAGCCACCCCCGTATACATACGATAACTTGATTGTTACATCGATTTGGTCCACGCGATGGCGTCACCTTCTTCTAATGAGTCTATTTATCTATTGTTTCGGATTCATCAAAAAACTACCAAGTCTTGCATCTAATTATTCAGTTACAATATTTGTATGTGTAGCACACGTGGCTTTCGTTGGATATCGTGAATTAATTAAACCCAGGGGCGTATTTACAGTTTTTTTTGTTTTTTTTTCACACTATTTATACAATTCTTGTTTTATATATTTATATTGGTTTTTATTATATATTATTTATACCTAGACGTCAATTGACATTGGCTCGTGAATAATTGTAAAATAAAGCCTAGATCCTTGGCAATTTGGCAATGAAAAAAGACAGGCCCTCGACACATTTGTCCATAGCGTTAGAGTCTGAAATTATTTCAAGTCTAAGCACACATCACGCTGAAGTAAAGAAATAGAGATCGTCAGTCATCGTCGTCGTCGTCGTCTAGCGAAAGGGGGCAAGAGTCAGTCTTTGCGTCCGATCATCAAGACATGAGCGGCGGCGTTGGCCAGGTATTCATGTCGCGTTGCGTCTTGCGCTTGAGTAACTCTCAGTCGAAGGCCAGCCGCTTGAGAAACAGATGGATGTCGTGGAAGGTCGGTCGGTCCTCGGCACGCCGACTCCAGCACTTGCTCATGACGCGATAGAGCTCGCGCGGGCACAGGCTCGGCTGGGGCAGGACGCGCGGCAGCTGCTGTTGATTGCCGCCGTTTACGCTCTGGTACCAACGGCTGCAGTTCTCCAGCACTTGCTCCGAGGTCAGCTCGGCGAAGGGCAGTTCGCTGCAGCTGCCGAAAATTTCCCAAGCTGTGACGGCGAACGACCACACGTCCGACTCGCTCGTGCACTTGTTCTGCGCATATAAGATGGTGTTTAATTCAGGTGTCAAAAATAATTAGTAACCGATCAATCGAGTTTCAAGCATTCGGAAGATTGCTCAATTACCATGAGTACGGCTTCCCAGGACATCCAACGCAATGGTATTTTCGCATAATATCCGTTCACGTAGTACTCCTGGTCGTATTTGCTGCAGTAGAGCGCGTGGTCCGATACCTTGATCACGAGGTTTTTATTAACTATGCAATTCCTGAAAATGTAACAGCAAAAAAAGATGAAAACTTGGTCTAACTTCGACGATCAAAGGAAACAAAAAATCGTGCAATTACCTCGCAGCCAAATCGCAATGTGGAATTTTCATACTTTCCAAGTACTTCATGCCCGAGGCAATTTGAGTTACAAAGTTGAGAAGACAGCCGTAACTGAAATATATATACAAGAGTAAATAAAACGTAGACTATTGACTAAACAGCTATGAATTTAAATAAAGTTCCTTGTAACTGAGTTTGCTGATCGCGTTTCAATTACCTCAATGTGAAGTCGTCGTTGGAATTCTCGTTTCCGGTCTTCATGAAGGTCGGCAAGTCACCGAGCTCGCCGTATTCGAATACGGCGCCCATGGGCTCCTCCTCCACCAGGGCCATTATTCTCGCCACATTAGGGTCGCGTATTGCCGCCAGCAGATGCATGTCCTTCATGAAATCTTTCCTGAAATTTTTAATGCCAAAAGTGTTAATTTTGCCAGCTTATTCGAGTTGATTTGAAAAACTCAAGACTAGCAATTACTCACTTGAGCGAATCGGTGACTCCTCTCCAAAGAGACCTGACGATGACGATCTGCTTATTGCGTATCGTACCCAGGTCGGGGCTCTGTATGCCCTTGGCCTCGCACAGATAGACGAGGCCGAAGCTGCCCTCGCCAAACTTGTCGAGGATCCTCAGCCGATGCCTCGACACCTGCTGAATGTTGTAGATGCTCGACAATTGGACGCCCTCCTGGATCCTCAAGGGCGTGAACAGACTGGTCGACGGGTGCTGCTGCTCGCGCCGTTTGATCTTTGGACAAAGTCACATTTTCCACTCGTTATTTTCTAATTATTATTTATAAAAGTGCTAACAGCTAATTCAAGATATTATATTGAGGACTTACGGTCAAAATATCGGTCGCCGCGTAGTAGCCTTCGTGCACCTTGTGATTGGACTTGTTGACATTGTGACTGTGCCGCTTGAGAGAAAAGGACGACGGCAAAATCCTCTCGGTCGACTTATCCTCGTGGTATATATTCCCATTCGAATAATCCGCGATGCCTGAAATAAAGTCCCCATTGAATTTCCATCCACGCGACGTTTCTCGAATAAACAGGCGGTACGAATTAACAAGCTCTCAAACTGCCGCGAGCTTGGCTCAAGGCAATCAACGGTTTAGATTTTATTATAAACGACATATAGAGTTGCCATATAGAGTTGCTCGGCTTGGCGTTATTTTGCGGGAAAATTTGTAAAAGCTCGCGCACACGAGCACGCGGAAAACAATAAATATTTATGCAGACAACATAATGCAGCGCATAATACACGAGCGCATCTCCCGTATAAATACTTGGAAATGCATTCCGTTAGCATATTTGAATGTCAAATCACTCGCGAACGATTCGCATGCATTATACCCGACGCCCGCGAGGGGACTGCGCAAAGCACACGCACATACGAAGAGAAGTTGCGTGCGTATCATACACACACGCGCCGTATACATTATGGAGGTAAACGCATCTGCAGCGCAACGTCGAAACGGTACACTCAATGAACAAAACCGTAAGGAGCGTAATTGAAATTCGATATAGGAGCAAAGTAGCTCTCACCGATGCAAGAGGAAAACCTGTCGGGCTTTCCCATTATCGGCTCGTAGGCGAGATTCTCCTCGGAGAAGAGCTTGTAGGTCTTCTCGTAGGCGCTGCACTGCTCGTACTGGTCGCTGCCCTTGTCGCTGCTGCGCAACGTGCTGCTGTCGCAGTCGTCGTTGACCGAGGCAGAGGCGTCCGTCGCCGCGGCCGCGGTCATCGTCGAGCCGCCGTTGGCCCCGAGGACCGAGACGAATCCGCCCTTGGCCTTGGCGCTCTTGAGGCGCGCCTGGCTCAGGCTGTTGCAGACTATCGGCCCGGGCAGCTTGATGTCCTTCATGTTGATGGTGATGCCCGGCGCGGTGGGCCCGCACAGCAGGGCCGTGTGCTTCTGCAGCAGGGCTATCTTGTTGCGGCCGCGCTGCTTCATCAGGAAGACCGTCGTGCAGGTGGCCAGAATCGCCACGACCGTCAGAACTCCGCTTATCTGGAAAAACACGTCGTTTGGAAATCAGCGAACCAGCCCAGCGCAGGAGAATGCACTTGCGCAGCCAATTAAAAGATCAGCTTCTCAACTCACCAAGCCAATGTAAGTCTGCGAATTGCCGATGGGAAAGGCATCGGGCGTTAAATTCGGATTGCTTGGATAAGTGGTGTCGTTTTTCTCGCTCCTCGTGCGGTTTCTCTCTTCGGGGATCAGGAGCGCGTCAGTCTCGTTGGCGTGCTCCATCATCGCCACATTGTTATTCAGCTCCGGTCTCAGCTCGTTCGTTACGTTACTCAGGCCCGCGACTGTGCAGTGCATAAAAATAGATGAATTTCGTCGGTGTTGTCAGGATTATTAATAATATTTTTCAACAAGTCAGCATGCGTATCGGATATTTCAATATGTATATCTCTGTTTCATATGTATTCGTTGTCGAGAACTTACTCGAGTAAAAAGTCACCTCGCTGATGAGCAACCACTTGGATCTGGTGTGAACGACGAGCTTAACGAATTTGCCGATTTTTAATTGGAGTGGCACGGAGACGGTGGCTGTCGTCGACGAGAAGCCGTTGACTATATCGATCTTGCCGCTCGACGCGTGATACTCGCGTCCGTCGCGCGAGAAGTGCGCTTCAATTGCCGAGAATACCTGTGAAAATACGTTGCAATCATCGCGAAAAAGAAACAACAAAATAATTACAGCTGCAGCTCGACTATAGATGTGTACGTCTATGTAGCATACAAAAACGAGCTTGCAGAGTGCACTGCAGCAGCGACTGCACAGCTTGCTCCATTAAAGCAAACAAGCGCGCGCACAACATAGGTATATATATGTGTGTATACGAACCTCGACTTCTTTCCTCGGCACGTGAGCCACGTGCAGGCTGCAATTGTGAAACTCTCGCTCCTCCTTGAACTCGAAGAGCAGCTCGACTTGGCTGCGCCGACTCCAGCCGACCCAATTGTTGGCGTGGGCCGAGCCGATGAACTCGAAGCCGTCGGCCAGCACGTTGTCGGTCAATTGGCCCAGGCCACCGGACAGCGTGCCGTTGGCCTCCAGACCATCGTACGACGAATCCTCGACGTTGCTGCCTCCGGGCCCGTACGTCTCGCCCACGGGGATCGTGTAGCGCACCACGTCCTCTGCTCGAAACAACGTCGATCGAGCACATCGCATTATTCACGGTTCATAATGTATGTATTGTAATTTAAACGGCAGGGATGATTGTGGATTGATGTATAGGAAGGTTGATAAATCGCTTGTTCTGCGTTTCATTCGAGCACATAGTTTCTCACAAAGAAAACTCAACAAAGCCATTGAATTAACGATCGCATTTGTATGTGTACATGACAGACTTGCTAGCGAACGAGGGCTGATTAATCAATCTTCCCAAACTTTCCAATTGTCTAGGAATTCAACTTGCTCTTTCTTTTCTCTCTCTCTCTCTCTCTCTCTCTCTCTCTGCAGAATACGACGAGAAAATCAAAAGCGAATAATATATTTAAGTCGCGACTCGAAGAATACTGCATATTATATATATTATGTAGCTGCGAATAAAAGCTTCCGGCGGAGCAACTTGAAAGCATCGACGAGCGTATTGGCCTTTATATAAGATTCGCTAACATTGTGTTAAGTTGCTCGGGCATCTCGGAGCTAAGTAATAATGCGCTAGCGAGGCAGGCGCAGCAGCAGTTTCGGCTACTCGTTTTTTTGCTCTGCTTTCTTTCATTTAATATCAAGCAAGCGAAAAGCGTCCAAAAAGTTTGCCGCAAAACAACTTTTGCTCGACTCGACTATATATACGGAGGTGAGCTTGCGTTGGCTCTCAGCATCGTCATATCGAAGTATTACTCTCTCTCACTCTCTTTCTCGCTCGTTGCAGCCCCACGCGCTATATATAGCCATGGAGCAGTTGCGCACCTACACACATAGAAGTCTGCATACAGGTATATATACGCAGAGCAGTCGGAAGTTTCAGTCGCTCTCGCTATGGTGCACGGCAACAAGAAATGCTTTTAGTCCTGATTGATCCCACCGCGAGGCAGTAATTCCGAAGGGGCACACACACGTACCATGCGAACCCACATATTCACTTACGGAAATACAGGAGTTGTGCGCTCACACACAGAGGCGCATTTATTGGAGGAAGAAAAATCACATGCAGAGCTTGGCACTGGAGATTAAAGGCAGCCAACAGGCAAAGGTCGAATCGAAAGGAGAGTTTAGTTGACTCCGCGGGAGGCTATATGAGAAGAAAGACGAGGTCGGCGGGCTGCGTCCGTTATATTGAAAAGCTGCACTGCAGCTCCGAGAGTTAATATCGATTATTTACAGATCGACGATGAGCCGTGGAAGGCCGTGTAAAGCGACAAGTCGTCAAGCAAGATCGAGAGAGAGAGAGAGAGAGAGAGAGAGAGAAATAAGAAAAAGAATACTAGGCTACTGGCGAGCTATATATAGCTCCCTTTGCGGCAGCTCTTAGAGAGCTTACTCGACTTTTTATTGTTTTCCCATAGTGAGAGAGAGAGAGAGAAAGTCAGAGTGAGACGGAGCACTAACAAATTTTTCTTTTCTTTCAACTTTTTATAGAGATACAGACATTATAAACACAGATACAAGAATCGAGTCTCGACGATACAAATGTTGCTACACACATTTACGGAAGGCAATTTTCGTTTCTCGCAAGGAATGATTTATAGCCGATGCTTTTTGCTCGATAAATTTTCTTTGTACATGAATGTGCATGCGTTCAGGTACTCTCCTCAATGAGGATTAGCTCGAAGGGATAGATCGAAGGGAATAGGGGATGCGTACGTATAAAGTGAGAAAAAGATTGAATAATTAATCGGCTTCGGGATTATTCGGCGTCGGTATGTGATATATATTGGCTCAAGATACAGCTCTGCACAAGAGGATACCCATACAACAAATAGAGAAAAGGTATACATAAGCGCACACACAGAGACAGACTGAATAAAGTTCACTTACGTTCCCAGGCGCAGCCGTAAATCTCGACCCTCATGCAGACGGTGCGCGGATGCTGGCTGTACGGCACGAAGCGCACCCGACTGGCGACGAACGGCAGATCGAGCTTTTGCCGCTCGACGAGATACGTGTTGCTGTTGCCTCGTAGCACCTGTGCGTAGATGATCACACACATGTATAGATATATATTTATAGATATATATTAGTTATATAGAGAGAATGGGAGGGAGAAAAATAAAAGCTTGAGAAATCCGTGTAAGCCGCATCTGGCTGCTCTGCAGCTGAGGCAATTTTCATTATGTGCTCGTTTTTATCGTTTCGTAGCCGCACGTTATCCTATACCTTGACTCGATTTTGTATTTTTGATACAGCTGCGAGACTAAATTTTCCCAGCTGTTTATAGAATAACGACGACGTAACTGCAGGAAAACTTGAAAAGCGTCTGGCTTCGTTACATAAATAATTGCCATCAACACTATCAACATTATTATCCCGGCGCGCGAGTCTATCGCACAATACGGTAGAAAAAGTACATATATCTCACTTATCTGCTCGGCAGACGCGCGAGTTACGTCGAGTCGGAGTCTCTAAAGCATCGCAGCATGGTGGCAGTGCGCGTCGCGCAACATGTACGACGGTGGCGGCGGCGACGACGACTATGCTTATATATAAAAGTCGAGGCATTGCTATTAAAGTATGAATATTGTATAGTCGAGCGTCAAATAGGGAAAGTTGGCACGACGCGCGAAACTTTCCGAAGGCCCTTGAGACGCGTGTATGGCTCGACTCACGCATACGTATGGCGGGCGCGCGTATAGCTATACATTATGTAGCTCGGGCGCCGCCGCGCGACTCCGCTCGGATCTCGTGCAGCTCCGTATACATGTGCTGGGGCTACAGCAGAGAGAAGGCGAAAAAGAAATACACGTATCGCACGGGAGAGAAAAAAGATGTGGTGCCGGTTATGGAGGTATAGTGTGCGGCTGGGCTGCGTTGTCGCTGCGACGGGAGCATTGCCGCGCGGCACAGAAAGAAGAGAAATAGCTGGCTGCGGTGAGAGAAAGAGAGGAAAAGACGAAAAGTGGCAGGTGGATTGATAAAGTGGCGCTGTGGAGGTCTCCGAGCCTTGGTAAATGTCGCAGAGTAGTATAGTGTAGCTGCTGATGCTTGTTCCATACGCGCGGAATATACGTATCAGAGAGAGAGAGAGAGAGAGAGAGAGAGAGAGAGAGAGTGTCGAGTTGTGTAGTAGTGGTAGTAGTAGTAGTAGCGGTGGTAGCAAGGATAAAAGAGAGTATTGGACGACGAGAAAGAAAAAGCGAGGCAATGCCAGTGGCAGCAAGCCCACAGGGGGGAGAAATTGCCAGGATGTAACGCGATCGTGTATATGTGTGTCGCTAACTCGAGCTTTTGATGGAAAAATATGGTCGATTGTTTTACCGGGAGCCGAGCTAGCCGGGCAGCTCGTGCGCACAAGTGTCGCCGTAATGAGCGTCTTGTGTTTCTTTTCTCTTGGCGTGTGCAACACAATATACACAAAGTGTATATGGGAGCTCGGAATTGAAGAGAAAATGTATTACTCGTACGTGGGAGCATGCCTTGTATATATAGCTGCGCGTATGATGTAAGGCAAGTTGAAGGGAGAAAAATTTCCAGCCCTGGATGCATAAATTTCATAAAGCCGCAATGGTTGAGCGCGAGGCGTTGATAAAGCACGCTTATATATCCATACAGCGAGTTCTGTATGTAGTGCTATCTCGCGAGCGAGTATACCCCGTATATATACTTTACCTGCGCGCGAGCAGAAACTTTGAAGTAGAATTCCGGAGCAAAGATCCGCCACCGCCAACGCCGTCTGATCTCATTCGGAAGAAATTCCACTCGACAGAAGTGCGCACGAGCGAGCGAGTGAACGAACGAACGAACGAACGTACGAAGGAACGAGTCGTCACCGTCGTCTGGAGCGTCGACTGCACTCGAGGCCAACCCATGCGCGCTTGCTATTATCCTTGACATCGACGACGCGCAACGGCACTATACTACAGCTGCACTCCGGATAGAGGTGCAAAATGTTCCCGCGACTCGTCTATGCGTCTTATAATACGTCGCTATTATACTTGGCTGCTTCGGCAGCTTCGAAACTCGAGTCGTGCGCGAAGCCAAGTGATACGAGTCGGCGCCCAGTCAGACGACACGGAGTATAGTCACTTATATCGTACAAATTCTAATAATGTGCAGGGCATACCCGGTCGCCCCTGAGGTTCTTGTACGAGTGCCACTTGAAGTCACGCCAGTACTCGAGAAAAAAGGCCTCGGCGTACTCTTGGCCCTCGCCGTTGCCGAAGCGGCCCTGCGTCTCGGTCCACGTGATCAGGTGATCCCTCGTCAGGTCGACCTCCAGGTACTCGCGGATGTCGCTGCTTATCTGCGCCTTCGGACACCAGGCGCCCCCGTTCTTCTCCTGACGTATCCTGTCGACATAAAACAACATATTTATAGGATATAACTTTATGAAGACAGCTGCACTCGGCGAACCTACGCGACGTGGCCGCAAGTACCGAGAACCGCAGAAATTCTCGCGCGACTTTGTCTTATTTGCTCCTTTTTTTCTTTTTTTTGCCTTCTTTTTTATTTTCATAGCACTTCGTTATCTCTTGTGTTTACAAGTGTAGCGTGTGCCGCGAGTACTGGGCACACTCACGCGTACAACATAATATACACACAGGCGGTGTATAAGGTGGTTACGACCCGCTCCGAGGCTGTAGGCGTTTTTGTGCTCAAGATTAATGTTTACTTTAGCGCGCATCTATATAGCTATACACCCAGTATGTGCGCTCCTCCGCCTCGTGTATGCGTGTGTGCGTGCGAGATGAGTACGAAGAGATTCTTAAACGCTGCCGGCTTGATAAGCCGCGTGCGATTGCGGTATTATGCAATTTGGCCACACGAGAGGAAAAAAAAGAAAAAATATAAATATATAGCGATGCCAAGATTCGCTGAAAAATTAAATCTCACGAATTGCGCGCTGCTACTGCTTTTTCAAGCGTAAAAATGCACGCTCAATTAATTATTCCTGAGCACTTGTCTGATGAGAAAAAAAACATAATGCCAAAAACAAGAGACAGTAATGATAACGATTATTAGCCCCGGATGTCGAGTGGATCGAGCTGGAAAAAAGTATAAATTTACAATGCACTGAATTGAAACGTATTTAAAAAGTATAATAACCGAACGAATTCACAGTCACGACTGTTTAAAAATACATTATTATTATTATTACTATTATTATTACTATAGGTATATGAATAGGAGTCGAAACTAATTTTATCAATGTCGTTAAAATCATCGAAACATTATAATAAAGCAAAAAAAAAAAACGGAAAAGTTCTTGAAATTTGGCGAGTCTTTCGACGCGCAGCTGTGACTAGCCATAAAGTAACTGCTGCAGCTCATTTCTCGAGCGCAAGGAAAACGATAATAATAAAGCCTTGACTCGTTATATAGTACATACACATACTTCAAGCCTGCAGCTTTATATAGCTGTAGGTAAAAAAAGAGATGAAGAAGGAAAAGAAGAAGTGAAGTACACGTCTTACCTGGCATTCTGTGGCCCGACGGATTTCATCTCGTAGCTCGAGGATGCCGTTATGGCATCGTCCGGTATTTTTCCCTCCTCCATACCCAGCGGAAGTATACAATGGCCTGAAACGACATTAACGTTATCCAATTACCGGTGAATCAGCCTCGGGCTAGTTTTACTCACTCTCTAACTCTCTCTCTCTCTCTCTCTCTTTCGGATAAAGAGAAAAGCGTTGCTTCTGCTTCTGCTTTGCCATAGACGCGCTCTCGAGTTCTTGCACATGCACACACACAGACACACGCATACCCACACCAGCTCGAACTTGACTCTCTACACTCTCGACTGCGCTGGTGGCTGCCGCTCGCCGCCACCGTTAGAGAGAAGAAGCAACAGCAGGAATAATGATATTACGACTTTGGCGTTTGCATATTGACCTGCCTTTGGTCACGGATTATGCAAATGCCAAGAGCCACGCGTGCGTGGGATACCTCATCTCTCTCTGTATATTCGAGAGCAAATACACATACACACACGTAAAAAATACTTCTCATCTCTAGTAAATGCGCCAAAAGATCCGCCATTCTCGTTTTGTTTTTCTTTTACAAGACCGGCCCGTTTTTTTCCATATCGCGTACAAACAAAGAGCCATTTTTTCCACTACGCTGTAATGACGCGCACTCATTACCATTTTTGACCATTCGATGCGCTATAAGAATATATGAATTTTAATTTCGTTCATTTAATTATCTTATTGGTGATAAAAAAATTTGAATATTATTTCATAATGCGAGCCGTAACGTAGCGAGTTGGTATAGGTGAAATTTAGTCTGCCGCCGGAGCGACCATTAAAAAAAGCAAGTCATTTTTAAGCGCGACGGCCGGCATCTGGTTTGCTGAAAAATTAACACCGAGGCGATGTCGACTGAAAAATAGCCCCCAAGGGTTCAGTAGCGCGCAATTTTGTATTAAAAGAAAGACACGTCGCTGTAATAGCTCAGCTTTATTTTTCATATACATGCGCGGTGCGAAGCGACAGCCAACTAAGTCACCCAGTACATGCGTACGCCATTACACGCGACTTGATAAAATAAGTGATATTATCCGCTAAGGAGCTTGTATCTTTTTGCTCCGATAAAAAATTGACAAACTATTTTTCACATTAATGGCTGGAAGTTTATTTATAACTCTAAAAACTTGTCGCGTTGTGCTCGTGCCTTGGTTTTATTCGCAGTTTCATCATCGGCTGTGCTCACATAAAGCATTTTTCTCGTTTATACGTGGGCGCTTTCGAGCGAAGAATTTATCTCGGAAATGACTAAAACAAAATTAAATTTGAAAGTAAAATTTGTTACTCCGGCGCGTGTATGCTTTTCGACAAAGTAAATAGGCCAAATGTAAATGAAAGCTCCATCAACGTTCATTCACATTTATATGCGCACGTCTATATACAATTGCATTACTCGCATTCAGTAGAAATAGTCAAGTTTGCATCAGGCATCCCTTTAAACGAACCAATGGGAAGTTTTGAAAATATATCCATCTCTTCGAGATTGGACATATGCTTCCAGTAAAAAGACATAAACCGACTCATGGCGCTAAGTCAATAATTCGAGAAACAAGACGTTGTAAGCTAGCGCTTTGAAGTTTAATCTTGATGCAAAAGACTAGAAGCTTAATTTTCGACAAAGTTCGTACTAATTATTAACGATATTTTACTCGGAACTAATTATTAAAAAAAGCAAGTCAAATCGCATGCAAGTCTTACACGTGGATTAAAATTCATTCGCTCAAAGTCTCAATTTTTAAGCATGTGCTTTTATTTTTCGTACTAAAGCTCGGGTCAGTGCCGGTGCTGCAGCTATTTTGTCGTCATTAGGTCGGCAAATGTGAGAGAAGAAGCAATCGAAGCGAGTTTGCTCTTATTCACAAGTAAAATGCACTCGATTTTCCAGCTATTTAACTGTATATATGCAGATGTGTAGCCAAGTGGCATTCTTGACCGAGTTTTTAGCTCGCTAAAATACCCTGTGAAAAATCAACTCGAGAGCATCAGCTCGAAAGGGAAAGAGAGAGAGTAAGAGAGTATGGCATTGAATCACTTCAATGTTTACATGAAGCTATGAAAATGCAATAATAGGCTCCATAACCATTTTTGGTAGAAATTGCTATCATTAAATGACAAGTTTTTGGGAAAAAAAAATTTTTTGTGCACATGAATGGTCCATAATAACTGAAAATATACCAATAAAAAATGTACCGTTTTTTCCACCTTTTTATGGTCACATAAACTTCCAACCTTTTTTACTATTTGCTACAAATCGACATTTAAACAGTGTTTAATAACCCGTTTCGGGCCAAACGGACGAAATTTTAGTTATTTTTTCACTCGCTGTAAACTCTGTGAAAAAATTATGTCAGAAATGTCAGAATAGTCATAACCGACGTAAAATTTTATGAACTTTTCGAATCTGGCGTCAGAATTGTAAAAAAAGTTGTTGTGTAAAAGTTATGAACAATTAAACAATAAAAAACACGAATTTTTAAAAAAAAAATTTGATTTGATCCGAATTTTCGAGTCGAAACAGACTTGCTCTATAGGTCTAACACGTTTTTTTTGCGTCCATGGGGTGTAGACTTAAAAGTCCAATAGTTACGATATCGAAATTTAACATGGCGGACACGAAAATGGCGCTTCGTAGAAAAAAACCGTATATGAATGTAGTCAATTTTTTTATATGTCAACCAAGCGCCTAGGAACAAAACGTTATAGAGAAAATGTTGAATTTCGATATCTTAACTATTGGACTTTCAAGTCTACACCCCATGGACGCAAAAAAAACGTGTTAGACCTATAGAGCAAGTCTGTTTCGACTCGAAAATTCGGATCAAATCAAATTTTTTTTCAAAAAAATCGTGTTTTTTATTGTTTAATTGTTCATAACTTTTACACATCAACTTTTTTGACAATTCTGCGTCGGTTATGACTATTCTGACATTTCTGACATAATTTTTTCACAGAGTTTACAGCGACTGAAAAAATAACTGAAATTTCGTCCGTTTGGTCCGAAACGGGATAAACACGCTTCCAATAGTTAGATTTATGCAATGATTTTGACTTTGCCACTTGCAGATTTACAAATAATGGTACTTGCCATCTAGTGGTGAAAGTTTAAAGTGATATTATCGTATTTAAAGTAGTTGAAAGTCGGTTTCATTTTTCGGAAACAATGAAACCGTTATCTTTTTGTAATTTAAAATGCACTTGATATTTTTAACGTTATTTAATTAAGTAAATTGCCAAAAAAAGTAAATTAATGTTAATGTTTTTAAGATGTTTAAAATGGCTAGTTTTCGGTCATTAGACTATTTTAAGTATTTGTAGCAGGGTGAGTCAGAAAGATATTTAACTTACCAAAAACATTTTTCGTCTGCTCCTCGAGAGTGAGCACTAGCAGCCAGGAGCTAGCCAGAACGAGAGCTCCGAGGAAAAAAACTACCTGCCCCATGATGACTCGTCACGCCAGCCGGCTAGTTTTGCTAATCTCTTTCTCATCGTAGACTCGATCGGGGCAGCTTCATTATTTCACCCCTGCAACAGCGAGAAATCCAAAAATTTCAATAAAGTTTAAAAATATATAATATTATAACTAGGCTTTATCATATAGTAAACTGCAAAAACTTGTATCAGCGTGTTAATATATATTAATCTATATACTTATAAGGCGATTATAAATTTCGAAGCGATTGCTAACTTGCTGTAGGAGCAGCGTATTTCCGAGGCCAAATGATTTTTACTTATATATTAGTTTGAACTATGTTTCAAGGTAATTTCGCGTACAGCAGCAGCACGCTCAAGTCAGTAACAGTAGCAGCAGCGGCATGCATGCGCACGGGGGCTTTGAATGTAGGCAAAGCAAAGTGCGCTCAAAAGCTTTAACAGCTCATGAGCTTAATCGACGTTTACGCTCTAAACCCTGGAGTAGGAGAATTTCATCTACCGCTTCGAAGGAAACGCATAGTATTCCGACTGGTAAATAATACATGCTGCGCCATCGACTTCATGTACATATACTGTTGCCGAGAAAACAGTGAGCATCTACGATATAAATAATTTGGAATTAAATTCTTTCGAGTTAACGTATTTTAGGCATTATTCGTTAAGAGAAGTAGCTGGGAATATTTTCGTACTCGCTATAGATTTTGTTTAAATTTGTACGAAATACTTGGCTATGCAAATGGATATGTGCAAAATGTACCAAGTAAAAGGTTTATAGTATATATGATCCATCTCGCATATATTACGAGGATCAGCAAGTACTCGAAACGGAATTGAAAAAGCCACGTATATAGACAGCGAGCGAGTGAGTATAACGACAGTGTCGTGCAGCAGCATCAGCAGCAGCTGCCGCCGTCTCACTATACACCGGTTAAATAGCGCGCACGACATCGTCTGCGCATGTATGTTGTATGTGCCTCTCTACATATACTGTAGTCGATTTTACACGAGCCATGCTCAGGTGCATTTGGCTGTATACGTGGCACCAACTTATACGCGAGTATAAAGCTCGAGCATATAGTACGGAGGCTGCTGGATGGATCGCCGATAACGAGGCGAATTTCCTGCCAGTTCGACGCGAGCCCCGAGTTTGCGTATGCGGAGCCACATTTCGCCGCTATACTACATACCATACACACCGCGCTGCAGGAGTACAACTTCCTATGCGGCAGTGCCTGGCGTGTCCTTTTGCAGAGGCAACCCTCCAGAGAGTGGACCCTCTTTTTGCGCGCCTATACAGCTAGACGTAGGGATAGTGCCGCTGGAGTAGTAAAAACCTCGGGATATGGGCAAAGTTTTCTCGCTCCGGTGTTTGCTGACGCCACCGCCACTGCGAGCTCCTCTATAAGCCCCGGACAAGATTCGAGATATTCGAAGGGAGTTCCTCCTGCGGTCTGTTCAGTTGGACCTACCTGGCCAATCTCTGCGAATATATATATGTTAACTTTCGAATCTAGTTTATTCCGCTTTTGTATTTAACTTGGACTAAAAAAAAGAAAATAGGAAAAAATGAACGGTGAATGTAGAAGTCAATTTTATGAATGGGACGCGAACGCAAAAGTACGAATTCTCGCTGGAAAATGAGGAGGGGAAATGATCATAATAATAATAGCGGCGAAAAGGAAATAAAATGGCTCGCGAGTTTATATTACGCGCGCGCCTACGTCCCGAGGCCGATGAGCCGTGAATGGAGATTGAAAAAACGGTAACAGGACGCAAGACAATGGTCTTTAACGGAAACGTATCCTCTACTGCGTTACAACGTTTTCAAAAATTCCCAAGTAGGTCAGTTTATCCAAAGGTTTTCCTTTTTTTTCCTTCCCTTGTATTTCATTTTCGAAGAATGTAGCGAGCTTCGGATCGCTCCAGTGGAACCTATTATATGCAATGTAACACTTTTCATTCGCTGTGTATTTGCCGACGTATAGCAATTGTACGAGTGTCGCAAAGCTCTGTGATCCCCTTTTTTTAAAAAGCATCATTCTAGAATGTTATTTAACGCACGCTCATAGAAACGAGGTGACTAACAAGCTTTCTCGCGCAAGAGAAAGAGGAGAGGGTTTTAAGGGCTCAGGAATTCTATATGCGTCGTCGATAAATACCTAATTAACGTAAAGCTCGCGAGCAGCTCTTACGTATACTTGCCCGCGCGCAATAAAACCGAATCTCGAGAGTTTAATTTAGCGCTCGTGAGCATAGCAATTATCGATCGATCGATCTAATTAGCATATTTACACGCGAGTGTCTCGGCTGCACTCGTTGCGAATTATGCGATAAACAAAGCTTTGAAAAGCGAGCTTGAAGAGTCAAGAGCGATCGCTGCGAAACGAAAGAAGCCACCAAGCCGTGTCTTTGAAAGGATACGAAAAAATTAATAGCTTTGAAAAATCGAATTTTCGGTCCGAAGCGCACGAGCTTTTCACAATTTTCTCCTTTTTTTTCGTTAAACTATGTAGATGCATAAACATTGTGCAGGTGCCCGATGAAAATCGATGCACATAGATATACTGGGTGTATATTGTATATAGCCTTGGGATCATAGACGTATTGTAGAGGAGCTTTCGTCGAGTGGTAGCTTTAATGAGATTTTATATGAAAACCCGAGAGCAGCTGCTGCTGTGCTCGCAACAGATTCGCCAGCTTCGGTTCCATCATTAAGGAAAACTGCTCCTCAATAGCGCCACAGGCTGTAGATTTCATTTTGCTGCTCCGCTACCTGTGTATATGTATATCTATAGGAAAGTCATACATACATCTATAGAGTGCGCTGGCTCGGACCGACTTAATCTGAAAATTACGCTATTGCTAATGCTTGCGCCAAGATAGCTTAAAAAAGAGAGACTTTAATAATAAAAGAGTGAGTTTAACGAAATAAAGCAGCTGAAATTCTATGATTTTCTTTCAGAGGTAACGGTGTGCAGCAGACATTCGATGTTATACTTATTTTGAGCGCACTCAAGCTTGACTATGAAGTTTTAATTTTAATTCATCACTTTATGGCACTATGCAATGAGCTTGAATGACCAAAGATCCATAAGTATGTGAGCTAACACTCATTTTGGAACATTGCGCACAAAAGCTCGCTTGCAGCCAGCGCCGCGCTTGGATTTTACACCATTCTACCTCTTCCTTTCCCTCTCTTTCTCTCTCTCTCTCTCTCTCTCTCTCTTTCATTACGTGTAATAAAATCCACAATAGCAACGGAACCATAGATACGGATGTGTATGTACATGTACAAGCGGGGTGCAAGCTCTCACATATACAGAGAGCCGACAGACAGACGCTATATGCACATATAATAAGCGCGAGCCGGGAAAGCAGCAGCAGCAAGCATCATTTCGACTGTAGCATCCCAAATAATTAGCAATTTCGAACGTGCAGCGCACATCTCACAGCTCGCGCTCATTATACCGGTCCGTTATACCGCAGCTAAGCTATAAAAACTCTTTCTCTCTCTCGCTCACTCGTTCCATTCCGCCTTTGCCGAGTGTAGCACAACTCGGCCTCGGAAATTCCCCTCCCTGCCTCGTGTGAAATAAAACAAGCACGAGGCGAGAGCAGCTCATGCAAAAAATGAAAAAATAAAATAAAAAAGAGTCGGGGAGCGAGTGCCATAGAGGTAAGGGAAAATTCATAAAATTTACGCACGCAGCTCTCTCTCTCTCTCTCTCTGTACGCGCTTGAAATTGCAAGAATGCAAGCGCGATAAATTCCCTTATTGCAAACTGGAGAGTGAGAGTTGGAGGTCTTTCGATAGGGGGGAGAATCACTGCAGGGTAGGCTTGTCAATGTGCGTCCGCCTCGTCGTCGTTTTCGTCTCTCGGCACTCGCGCACGCTGTATAATTTGTACCTATATAGTCGATTGCCTCGGGCAGAAACAGCTTTTTTCACGACTAAGTAGATGCACCATCGAAACTAGTTCGTTGGACTTTTATTCCCCATTCAAAGTAAAAAACTTTCAACTTGGCTGCACAGAGCTTTATTCGCGACGAAGCGTACGTATATATAGCCGAGGCAAGCTCACCCGAGTCATGGACGCAGAGCACTGCGCAAGCTCTCTTTCGGCTTCACGATAATTGTACTATCGCAACTCTCAGTTGGGCCAATCGGTCTTTCCCCATTGTACTGCAGTCGCGAGTTCTCGACTTTGCGTTCATCTCCGGAACTGCCGCAGCAGTCTATCCCGAAAGTACCTGCGCGCCGCGCTCATACCTAGGCCGTATACACACATCTGTACCTGCAGCTCTCACGTACGCGTCCGCGCGCGGGGCCGTTTTAAACGTATACGTACGCATACGTACGCTCACGTGTACGCTCGCCCAGGAAGATATAAAATTTATGCTCGGGACGCGCAGCTTGCCGCCGCGTATATGCAGAGAGCATAGTAAAATTTTCCCATCTCTCGCGAAACGCCGCCGCGTCCTGTGAGGGATGTACCTATACGAACTGCGACGGCGTATGCATGTACACGTGCGCAGCTACGGTGGTATTGGTTCGAATCGCGCGTCGAAATTTATGGCTTTTGGCTGCGTTCGCGCGCACACGTATATATGCGAGAGAGAGAGAGAGAGAGAGAGAGAGAGAGAGAGAGAGACCGGTGTACGTAGCAGTATAAGCGCGCGTGTGTACTGCAGCCGCGCGAGTGGTTGCCTCTCTCTCTCTCTCCTGTGCCGTGCACAGACCGCAGATTGATCTTTCGCTCGCGGAGACAGACAAAGGACCCGCCGCTGCTGTGCTCTACTATGCCGCAAGTGTATATGTATGTACACACGCATCAACGATGAAAAAATCAATCTTTCGCATTTCTATCTGCCCCCGCCTCCTTTATCCTTTTCCTCCCTCCTTTGCACGCCATGCGTCTATGCGAAAAAAGAAGATATTTATCTTTTGAGTGTTTGTTATCTTGCTTTGAGAGAGCTGTATCTCCCATTTGCCCGTGTATCAGTTTCGAATACCAAGGATAAGGGAGTTGACAAGACCGAAGCCGGCGGAGCCTTTGGCATGGTAACATGACTCGAGTACCTCTAGTCAC